ATGTCAGTGATCCACCTAGAAGAAAGTCAAAACATCGGTCTTTCACAGGTAATATTATTCGTATTTCATCATTTTATATCCTTTCGGGCAGTAATGAATGCTCTAAATCGATTCATGTTGGTATTTCTTGCATATAGCCGCAGATATTCTGATTATTAGACCTTTAATAGCACGATTTCCCGAGGCTGTTCTCTGACATCAAGTGTATTTGTATGTGTAAAGTCTGTGTTCAATTCAATTCACTAACACACAAAGTACTAGAATTTGAAAACGCTCTGACCACGTTGACCATTCTTGGTTAGTTTTGTCGATATTCGAGGAAACCAATTCATGTTGGGGGAGGAGCTATCCAATGGTAGTGATGGAAACGTTTATGATTGACATCTGTAAAATGCATGAATCCAGCAGGATTTTTCGTTCGACTCCCTACGTGTTATCCGTAACGGCTGTAACGTCAGCAAGSTTGAGCACATGTTTGTCTTAGAAATGCTACCAAAAGTGCAAGGGGAATGACYGGGATATCGTTGTTGCGCTGTGCAAGGCAACGATAGTCAACACTGGMCTCCCAGATCGAGTTGTTCAGTTTTACTTTGAGAGTGAYAATGACTCAATTAATCACGAGACTGAAAGGGATAATCAAAAAGGCCATATCTGATCCAKTACATACCACAGCACAGTGCAAATCAATTCGGTGTCGAAATTGTGACAGAAAGACCAGAACCAGAAGATCAATAATTCAACACAAGAGTTAGAAATGAAATATGCAGTCAAGACGACGCCTAAAGAGAGGAGAAAGGATGCCGTGAAGACAGATCTTGAGTGTGATTTTGCTATGTTATGATTTTTAAATTAAAATTGTTATTTAAAACATATCTGTACGTCAAATAAGTAAAGCGGTCATCAATATCCTCGTTGTTCCACGTGTAAAATCGTGTTATGTGTATTAGCATAAATTGATCCTCATTAGCATTTTTTATCCGGTTGTGTGAAATCGTTCTACTGTCTCCGAACATTATTACAAATTATGCAGATTCATCAATATTTTGAAAGACTTCAGGTTCAGTTCTAGGTTGTCATGAAAGCACGAAGGATTCTATATCATTCTGCTTTAGACTAAAGAATTCATTACATGATTGAAGACAGACGGTGTGAAGTCTTTTATGATTATAAAGTAATAATGACTGTTGTGCAATGCAATCCTTGTTATTTTCTATCTTTTACATATTCTCACTTTGACGCATACACATTTTTCTCAGCCGAATGAGCAGCCACGCTGTTTTGATTRACAGACTTTTTCAAAAAAAAWRKGGRGRSKCWMAMWCT